CGGGCGCAGGCTCGCCTTCCCTTTCCCGGGCTGGGCCGGGCCGCAGGGCTCGCCTTTGCACGTCTCACGGGCCCCAGGGCTGGCCAAGGGACATAGCGGGGCCTGAAGCAGAAAATCCCAGAGACCAGCTTCTCCTCGGCCCGACGGCATTGCCTCGCTCTCCCGAGCAGCTTCCGCACACTCTCCCACATGGGAGGGCGCAGGTCCAGGCTTTAAGAGCTGCATCTCGGGGGCGGAGGAGGGGCGGATTAGTGCCAACGTTTTCTGCCCCTGAAATCAAAGTCTGGACATTGTCACTCTTGTGCAATTAAAAAAAAAAGGGGGGGGGACCGGCAACCAGAAGCGTATCGGTCAGAGGCAAGAGAATGGCACCCCTTGGGAGGAGCGGGAGGGGGCGGCGGCGCAGGAGACCCGCGTGTGTGTTCTTTTCAGCTCTCTAGAGGAGAGGCTGATTTTCCCCAAAGGAAGCCATAGGTTTGAGTCTGCAGGAGCTGAGGAGGGCAGGTGAGGACAAGACAGACATTTTAGGGATCCCTCCTTCATAGCCAAGGTGACAGCATGTAAGAAAAAGAGGAAATGCAAATATAAACCGAACTAATAAGTTAGCTACTATTTTTATACTACAAAGACCTCTCTTTAGGTTAATGGTTCCCAAATGTTTTGCTGCACTGGTCAGGATGGCAGCCCAAGAAGATCTGAAGCCTCAAGTTTGAGAACCACAGCATTAGCCCAGTGCCTGACCGGAAGCAAGCTGACTTGGTGCTCTTTCTTCCACAAGATTTCCTGTGTGAAGGGATTTCCTGTGTGAAAGCTTTACTTTATATCCCTTTGTTCCTCCAGAGACCTCTAGGTATTGCTTTTTGCCCTCACAGAGAGAAAGCGGTTCACTGAGTGAGGTTTTGAGCCTGAGCCTCCACAACTCTAACCACTCTGCTTGGGCTTTCTAATCGCCAGACTGACCTTAGACGACCAGGGGGCATTTGAAGGATGGTCTCCATGAATGACTTTGGAGCACTAGGTCAATAGAGGTACTGCTCTGCCTGCTAAAACAAGGGCTGGGGGATGTATATTGAGATGGGCAACCAGTGGTTTTCTGTTTTTTTTTCTCAGACTTCAACTCCCAGCACAGCAAATAATCAGGGATGCTGGAAATTACTGTCCAAGAACATCTGGAGGTTCACTCCTTCCCCATGACTTATGTTTAGGCATCATCACAGAACCACTTGGTTTCACAGGAAATTTTAAGTTGGATTTCTTGAACTCCTCAGAGATCCCAAGGTGAGCTTGAATATGTTGTGAAAAATGTCTGCCACCGTTGTCAGTGCTAAGCAATTTGACCATCCTCACTACCAGAACTCTCTGCATAATGCATGTAAAGAGACAGGAGGAAGAATCTTTCAGAAAGATCTTACCAACTTACCCTTATTTAATCTCTCTTTTTAAAGTACAGTGCAATTCTTTTCTTTCTTCTGCCATTGCAAAAGTTCTTGTTAACACCCTCATAATCTCCCTGCCTACCTATTGTAAGGTTCAATTATTTCTTGATATTCATGCTTCTCTCTTTAAATGCCTTTCTTCTGGTCTGAACTCCTCTCCTTGATGGATCTGTCATTCTTACCATTTTCATCACCTTTCTTCTCTCTCTTTGTTCTCCTCCCTTTCTCTTTCTTCTTGCATTTCTTTTCTTTGCTTTAAATGCCGTTTCTAGAATCACATCCTACATGTCTTAGTTTTGACCTTATCCTAACCCTAATCCTTTCTGGGCTTCCAGCAGTATAAGGCAGAGAAAGTGTGTGTGTGTATGAAGTGCTGTCAAGCTGTATTGCCCATAAGAACCCTAATAAGGCTTTCAAGGTAAATGAGTTGTAAAGAGTGGTTTCCCAGGTCCGTACACCTCCCAGTGTGTTTGTGGCTAAGCAGAGATTCAAACCCAACTCTTCTGGTAAAGGTAAAGGTAAAGGTTCCCCTTGACAATTTTGGTCCAGTCGTGTTCGACTCTAGGGGGCGGTGCTCATCCCCGTTTCCAAGCCATAGAGCCTGCGTTTTGTCCGAAGACAATCTTCTGTGGTCACATGGCCAGTGCGACTTAGACACGGAACGCTGTTACCTTCTCACCGAAGTGGTCCCTATTGATCTACTTGCATTTGCATGCTTTCGAACTGCTCAGTTGGCGGGAGCTGGGACAAGCGACGGGAGCTCACTCCGTCGCGTGGATTCGATCTTACGACTGCTTGGTCTTCTGACCCTGCAGCACAGTCTTCTGCGGTTTAGCCCGCAGCGCCACCATGTCCCTTCAACTCTTCTGAGTCCTAGTCTGTCCACTACATCCCACTAGGTAAGCAGACAACACACTTGCATGCATATGCTTCCTACTTCAAGGACCTCCTTTTCCCACCTGGAGCTAGATCCCACTTCAGGATTACAGCAGAAATTATCTTCTGCTCTACAGCCAGGTGGTCCAGGGGTGAGTTGATCTGAGTCCTGAATAAGAAACATCTGACATCTCAAGGACTGTGCTGTGTGAATTTTGTAAAGCATTTCAATGAAACTTGTCTAGAGAAAAAGTTTGGGAACGTTACTTTTTGAACTAGAATGCTCAGACTCTCTAAGCCAATGTTTTTCTGAAATTCTTGGTAGTTCTTGATACCATTTACCATTGCCTCTTTTTCCAACATTTCTGTAAACTGTGTAGTATCAGCCTATGGTAGGAGCAATCTTATATGCACGGAGAGTGCTCTCTCTCTCTCTCTCTCTCTCTCTCTCTCTCTCTCTCTCTCTCTCTCGTACTAAGAGAATACCACTTGACCCCTTGGTTGCTATCCTGAGAAGGGTCTCACTGGCTTCCACTATGGCTCCTAGGACAATGATTCTCAACTGCAGAATCAACTTCTAGACAGAATTAAAAAAAAGAATTTGTGTTTTACTAGTTCGGCGACAGCAGTAATATTTGTATTCATCAATGTTACTGTAATTTTCAACTACCTGTGAAATTATTACTTAGTGCTGTAGTTCAGAGGAACATTCTAGAACTCTCTAGCAGACTACTCACAAAAGTAGAAATCTGAAGACTCTCTAGGATAAAACCATGACTGCTGAAGTAGATGTGATCACATGGAAAATAGAGCACATTGTGGAGCAATCCAGTGCAATCTATTTCTAGGCAATCACATGACGTACAGGGAATTGCACTCCAACCTGACCCCAATTGGGGTCCATGCGTAGGACTATCGCTTTCTGGGTCTGTGCTGGAGCAATTAATTCCTTAAGAGTCAGAAGGGTCACTCAAAGGGAGTCACTGCCTGCACAGTGACCCTTTCTGGTACAATAGGATTTTGTCTTTCCTCTGCCTAATCACACCCCAGGTCTCCCAACCTTCCTCTCTCAGCATTTTCAACTATTCCTCCTATTCTCTCAGCCACTCCGCTTTCACATGCAAATCCACACTGTCTGCCAATCTCTTATATTAAATGCAGGTTACTCTTAGAGAAACATCCCTTCCCCCCACCCCCCAACACATGACAGGCTCCTGTGCTGAGCTTTGGATGTTTTGCCAGTTAGAGCCATTCCTGGATTGGAATAGCCTAGCTGCAATGACCTGTTGTACTGTAATAACATCTTAGATAGACTGTTGCAATGAACCCACTTGGAGACAGTTTGGAAGCTGTACAGTAGCTGATGTGGAATGTCTTAGTCCAGAAGTTGTTGGGAGCAGAAAGAAGTGCTCATATTACTCTTATCTTGAAAGCACTAACTGCTGATGAGATGCCAAGCTCAATTCAAAGTCTTACCATTGGCATTTAAAGTCTTTAATGATTTTGGATCAAAGTACTTTAGGAAGTGCCTTCCCTGCTACCAACATATCTATTTCTAATGAGGGGGGGGGTTGCTGTTTGTCCCTGCATTTACAGAGACTAGGAAGACAATGGCATCAATCAGAACACTTTTACATAATATCAGCCTGATTATAGGCACACTCTCACTTTTGTCCTGCTACACTTAAATTTCTGTCCTCCAGATACAGGCTGGAGATGTTTTCATTTGTTTAGGCTTTGAGGGCTTGATGTAAATCCGTTCCATGCAACAAAGAGAATGCCAACAGCACTGATTCAGTGGCATTTTAACACTATTCTCCTGTTCAGGATGTCTTTTTTGTTCTTGTTTACTTTATTATTGTTTATTTAGTATCACTGGCCATCCAGTATGCGAAGAAAGACAGGACGTCTGTATTAAACAAACCAACTCTGGAGCTCGCCTCATCGCATTTTCTGAAGCCAGATCTGGACCTCAGTCCAGTTGCTAGCACCAACTGCAGTGAGCCCACTGAATCAAAGGCATTGCCCTGTGAGTAGTAGCGTAACTATATGGCAAGTCATTCCAGTTGGGAATAGCAATTGGAATGAGACCCCTTAGTTTAGAGGGAAAGCTTTGGAAACGTATTGTCAGTCCTATCTCCCCATACAGCTTCAGTACAGGTTGAAGGAAAGTCATGTGTGTGTGTGATGAGTTTCCCCCTCCCCAGTCACCCATCTAATGTTCAGGGTTTTGTTTCCTAACCCTGCTAGTATGGGTGTGTGGCGCTGAACTTTCTCCAATAAGGAGACAGCTTTCTTTTGCCTAAAAGTCAATTGAGTTCATGTCTTGTACTGAAACCAGTGCTATCAATGGCCACAATCATCCTAAAAAAGATTTTTCCTGGGCATAAGCAGATTACAAATAGCCTTATGCCAGAGATCACCCATCTGTGATCGCAAGAGCCCTTTGTCACCCAGCCAAACAATGCATTATGGGCAAAGCCATCATCCTTTCTTGCACGAATTGTCAGTTGTTCGTTTTTTTAAGCAGGAACCAGAAATGGGGAACTGGGAACCAGCAGAGGGGGTTGGACCTCTTTAACACTTTGCCTTCTTGCCTTTTGTCAAAAGAAAATCACTCTCCCCACCCCCATCCACAAGCAGCTTTCCTAGCTGTGCTGGGGTCATCTGCTCAAAACACATGATGGGAGATTCAGGACGGGTCAAAGGATGCAGAGCTGCATTTTGTAGGGCCGGCTGCCCGTTCTACATTAAAGGGGGATTAGACAAATTCATGGATGATTTGGCAAACAGCAGTAACTAGTCTTGACAGACAAAACGCTCCTTCCACTACAGTGGGAGGGTGCAGCAGTATATCAGTTGCTGGGGAAGGTGATCTGGTTGGGGCTGTTGTGCTCCTACCCAGCTTGTGAGCTTCCCTTAGGTGACTGGTTGGCCTTTGTGACCATAGAATGGCACAGGACATGCACTTTTGGTCCAGTCTAGGGGGTGCATTCCCCTAGGGAGAACCAAGTGGCTGAAAACTGAACGTGACTCTTAAAGGAAAACCACTGCAATGAAGAAAAGCAGATGGAGCAAGGGCTAAGTGATCCAGACCTGTGCAAAGGTTGCATGGTTCCCTCAAGTCCCAAGATGTGTGAAAGTAGGGCTCAGACAGCTCTTTGCAGGCGGCATGTTATAGAATATTATAAGCAAAGAACAGCAGCAGGTCAAGGCATCTGACTGAAAGAGATTACAATCTAAATGTTACCTGTTATGATAACAAAAGAAGAAAGTGTGGCAATGAAAAATGTATTAGGGGAAAGCAAAGAAAAAGAAGCCTAAGATGTCAGAGGAGAATTATAAGGGCCCCACTATCCATGCAACAAAATGACACCATCTTTATTGGCAAATTTGGTGAGTTCAACACTTGCTACTTTCTAATAAGGACTGTGTTCTACTCCCCCCCCCAGATCATTTTCCCAGCAAGATAAACGGTCGTGAGTTCAAGGCAACACTTGTGTTTCCACCCCACCTCCAGGCCACCTGGCTAGAGCCACAGATGTGCCATTCAGCTGCAGTAATGCTGTTGATGGGAGAGGGCAGCCTGCCTCTTGTGTTACCATCCCCAGTAAATTATCTGAGGAGCAAGACTGATGGAACTGGAGACTGGAGGGATGGGAGCTGGGTCTGTCAGCTAGCAGCAGCTGATGAAAAGCAGGACAAAGAAACAGTGTGTGCTCACAGAGGGGGGAGTGATGGAGTTTTTGTGGTGAATCACATTTTGACATTACACATTATACTGTAATTGCCCTGAGATGCATGTTTTCTTTCCAAGTTGGGGGTGAAGGAGCCCTATGGCATTTTTTTCTGCATTAATTTAATTAAAATTAAGATTATTATTATTATTATTGGCATTGTATATTGTCTCTCTACCTTTCCTTTTCTTCCCTCAACAATAAATTGCTTTTCTCCAATCCATTCTATGGCGAGGCTGAAAATGGAGAGAAGGAAAGAAAGAGAAACAGATTTCACATCACCCTGGGAGGGGAGGGAGGTAGTCAGAAGGAGATAACTCCCATTCACACCGATGCCACCACTGTGCTATTTTTCATACCTCTTCTGACCTTAAAGATCAGAGGGCCCTGACCACTCAGCTTAGACAGGGGAAAAGCACACGTCCTGCTGGACTTGCAGACTGGGAGTGAGAGACAACCACAGGCAGTGGGAAAGGAGCTGTCAGCCTTCATTATTAATATCCCACTGTTAATATTTAATGTCATAAAACTGCAGCTCCCTCCACAGCAGAATCATCAGACATGCAGGGGTCATACCAACCGGAATTCTTTAGACAGAAGATTCAGTGCCCCTGTTCTATAGCTTCATGCCAGGACTGCTAAAGATGTTCTAGATGGAGATGATATGATTGGAAGCTTAATAACACCTTTAAAAAAAATAAGAGTGTGAAGCTCTGTTACCTTTTTGGGAAATGAACTCAGTGCTTTGAACTCCACATTCTTCTTCCGAATCCTTATTATTATCATCGGTAATTTCAATCACACTTTCCAGTGGACAAAGTGCTTTACAATTTTTAGCCCATTTATATTCACAGCACAATGAGAGGCAGCTGAAATCTTCACCCTGCTGTACATGGATATAAGGCTAAAATGACAACATACATTTTTAAGACTGATTGGTAATCGTCTCAGAGTGTGTAGTCTCCTTTTTCTCTGCCCCTTGCCTACCACATTTCTCCTTTCTATCCTTGTCAGTTTCTTCAGTATCAATTTCCTTCCCCACCTTCTCTGGCCTCCTATAACAAAACTGGGCAACCCAGGGTGAATATTTAGTCACTTTCAATGTTTTACTTTATCAAGCTGTTTCTTTCTTTTTTTTCTTTTTTTAAAGGTCTAATATATTTTGTGCATCAGATCTGGTGCTACAAATACATTTAGTAACAAATAGGCAAAGAAGAAGCTATGACTCTGAAAAGGCATTCTGCACTGCATAATGTCAGTTTCAAAAGTGACCAGAAAGTAAGAGACCCAAAGGAAAGGGGGTAGGAACAAATAGGCAAAGAAGAAACTATGACTCTTATGCACTGCATCATGTCAGTTTCAAAAGTGGCCAGAAAGTAAGAGACCCAAAGGAAAGGGGAATAAAAATGGTCAATATGGTAGACAAGAAGGAGACATTTGATAAAGAAGCCACACATTGGCATGGACAAAACAGGCCCTTTGTACAAAATGTGGCAAATGACATTTTTCTACATTGTGAGGGAAAAATTGCATGTGGAGAACAAAACTTGTATTCTAGAGAAAGTGCATATGTACATTTGTTCACAGATGACATTAAAAAATCAGTTGAAATACAACTTGGGCCAAAATCCTGTTGGGAAAAACTGGACATGCAAGGACAGTTATTTTTGTTATGTGTCGTCAAGTTGGAACGGCCGGGCTTTCAAGGTAAGATACTTAAGGAGTGGTTTTACCAGTTCCAAGTCCCCTGTGAAGTTTCCATGGCTGAACACTCAGGCCTCCTGAGTCCTGGTCCATTACTCTGTTCATTACACCACACTGGGTATCCTGTAAGAGCAGTACCAGGGGAGTTATTCCCCTTGTGGTTTGCCATCTGTTGTGTAGGCAGGCACACGCCTGCTTGCCTGTGCAATGGCTCACCAAGAGACCAGGTAGGCTTGCTTCTGTGATTCTCTGTTTAATGTCGTGTGAGACCAACAGGATTTTGCTCTGTTCATCCACCTTCCTGCACAGCCATCCCTTAGTCTAAAAATTAAAAAGGTGCATTTAAAAAGGTGTATTTCTGTCCTTCATGCATGCTCAGCAGTAGAGAGAAGAAGGCCCCAAAGTACCTGGAACATGTAAATCAAGGAAGACCTCCAGCAGAAATAAATGGGACTCCATTAATGGTGAAGTTATATTTATTTTTATTTATTCATTTGTTGAAAGTATTACCGACCTGCCTCATACTGACAGATCTCAGAGGAAGGATATAATGAAATCATGTTAAAGGAATCTGCAATAATTCAAGTATTTAGCAGAATTTAAAACATTTGGAAATACCATAAAATAGCCTAAAACAGAGAAACAAAGCCTAGCAAATGGAAAAATCAGCAGCCCCTTGGGTGAGACATTGCACAGCTGGGCTGTTACAACCGAGACTTTCCTCCCCTATGTCTCCGTGTAGTGTATTTTTGTCAGTGGTAGGACATGGTGGAAGAAAAGCACCCCACTCCAGATCTTAAAAGTCCCTTCCACCAGCAGACCATGACGATTGCATAAGCATATATGGGGAGAGGGGCTTCCTTAAATATCAGGGTCACAAGCTGTTCAAGACTTTAGAAGTATCTGGAAGTTGAGTCATGGCAACTGGACTTCTTTCTTGTTAGGCTGAAACTTTTTGCTACTCATCCAAGTAGCTTCTTCAGTCTGAGGAGAGTTGGTAGGAGATCCCTGATATATCCTCCACATTGGTTTCACTTCCCCTGTTCTGAAAAAAAAAGTAGTTCTTAACATCTTGAACTCAGAATAGAAGCATACTGGCAGCTCCTGCAACTCTTTTAGACCTGGATATTGTATGGGTTCCTGCAATATGTAGCAGACTAACTGCTACATATTGTAGTTATTTACCATGTAATAGGGTTAAGAGCAACTTCTTGTAAAGTGCGTTGTGCCCAAGGATGTCCACAAGTCATCGTGAAGGACTGAATGCATACTTGTTCTCCCATATCTACATGCTGGGCAAGGCCCACTGCCTTACTGTCTTTGTTTTTTACCGAAATTATTCCAGAGATTGCTCTGATGTGCATTGCAGAGGAGCATAAGATGCATCCGAGTACCATGACACATTAAAGCAGTCCATGTTACAAGCCACTATCAGTATCATGCTGGGCAGAGGGCAAGAGGGAGAACAACATTTGTAAGCCTGCTCAGCAAAGATGGGAGACTAGCAATGCCCTGGGAATGGTGTGGTACATCAAAAATGTGTTGAGTGACAAGCCTTGTTCATGCATTCAGTTTTGGATCAAATATAAGCTTGCCAAGCCTCTTTTACTTCACACCCAGTCTTTCTTGCCCGGCAGAGAAGGGAAGGAAATGCATTTATTTCTACCTAGGTGGGTGTCAGAGTGCACATTGAAAGAGCTGCTGCTGTTTCTTTTTCAGAGAAAAGTCTTTCTCTCGTTTTCATTTTCTCTCACACAATGACATGCACGTGTATTCTGTTTGCACAGGGCATGTTGCTTGCCTGGAGCCACAAGACTGAGCCCTGGCATCACCTTACCTGGCTGAATGCCCGGGATCCCAACTCCACTTTGGCGGATTGTCCCTTTCCTCTTCGCAGCCACGCTGAGCTTTGGCAAGTGTGCCGCTCTGCCGTCTTGCAGCCCTTGTCTTTTATAACGTCCTTTCCTCTGGGCATAGATACAGCTTCAGCTCTAAAAGCTGACACAGTAGTTGAGGAGGGAATGTTAAATGGCATGGTACATGGAATGATGCTTTAAAATGATTTACATAGGTGTCCTCCCCCAAACCAAACACGATTGTCTATAGAACAGTGGCAGCATGCCGTCATTGGCTTGGATGATCCCAACCCTTTTCTTGAACATGCCACATAGAGGGGGCGGCTACAATGGGGGAGCCTCCCCTGTGTTGTAAAGTCACAGTCAGACATAGTACCACTATCCACTTGTGAGGATTCCCTTCCCCCTGCATCAAAGCCTACCTTGTTAGGCAGGAATGCCTTGTGTAGCGTTTTCAGGAATATGGAGGGGCTGCTGTAAGTATGAACAGTAAATGGAGAAATCTCTCTTCACCAACCCATTGCCCACTCTAAACTGGAGTGCCACTTTTTTTGATAAACTTTCTACAAATATTCCTTCTTGTTTTATGATTTCACATATACTAAACCAGTGGGTCATGTTTGGTCCTGAACTTCTCAGATGTACCATCTGATCATCCTTGGAATGGGATTCTTAAATGACTTACCTTTGGTCTGATCTGGTGAGAGAGGCGAGAGATTTTATTTGTCCTTTTGGTTGCCCATATGTCCCTTTCAGAGTGTTTTAGAATTCTTTTTCCTCCTCTTTTCTTTTTTCTTCTTCTCTTTTTCCTTCTCCTGTCTGCCTGAAATTCCCATAGCGATTACCTCAATTCTTATAGTGTTTACCTCAATGCAAGCCACTAAAACCCAATCTTTATTTATTATTGCTCCCATTTTTAAGACCAGATAAATTAGTTTAAACAAGGCCACTCAATGGATAAACATGATGAAATAATTGTTTACCGTTGCTTTAAATGAGAGAATACCTGAGAAAGAATTTGATTTCAGTCCAAGTTCAAATTCAGCATTGTGCTTACTGAGTTACTCTGCCCACTGAAATAATATGTAGACTGTAATCATAATAAAGTATCTCAACACTGTCAGTACACACAAAAGAGCTACGTTTTAATATTATAATTTGTTTAATGGTTTACAGCATTTATTTTTTATTTATTTATTTATTTATTTATTTATTTATTTATTTATTTATTTATTTATTACATTTCTATCCTGGCCATCTAGACCAAACATCTACTTTTAGATGGTTGTTGTGGGTTTTTCGGGCTCTTTGGCCGTGTTCTGAAGGTTGTTCTTCCTGACGTTTTGCCATCCTCTGTAGCCGGCATCTTCAGAGGACTGGAGTAGGAACTCTGTCCATGCTCTGTTGCTCTTTGTTGGATAGTTGAGTATTTATAGCTATCCAACAAACAGCAAGAGAGCATGGTCAGAGTTCCTACTCCAGTCCTCTGAAGATGCCGGCCACAGAGACTGGTGAAACGTTAGGAAAAACAACCTTCA